TAAGCTGAACACGTTACATACATAATAAAATGAACATGTTGTAGAATAAGATGAACATGCTACATAATAAAATGAACATGTTGTAGAATAAGATGAACATGTTACATAATAAAATAAACATGTTATAGAATAAGCTGAACATGTTACATACATAATAAAATGAACATGTTATAGAACACGATGAACATGTTACATAATAAAATGAACATGTTATAGAAAAAGATGAACATGTTATAAAATAAGATGAATATGTATTATTTTCAATCTGCAATATGTAATATGTTCATCTTATTTGAAAACATATTCATCTTATTATGTAACATGTTCATTATATGTCAGTATAATAAAATAATTACGAAAAAACGAAAAATTAGTTGTGTTCAAAAACCTAACAAATGTGGTCTCTATTTATAGATAATGAAAAATTATAAATTTTGGTATTTTTATTTTATTTTTTTAATATAAATAATTAATGATATTTTAATTCATGTAATATGTCTTATTTTTCAAATAAAAAAAAGAAAAATAGGAATGTACACCACACTAACTTAATTTTCTAATTTTGGGGGTGAGGGGCGCGTGCAAAATATACCGTGTCACACCTAGGTGTGCCAGTACTATTATTGTCAAACGGCAAATACTTACTATTGTTGTCAAACACACTGTTTCATGTAATGAACATGTCTTATCACCGCCAATTTACCCTAGTTTTCTTTAATAAAATTCACATTTTTAAATTGATATATCATCATATTTTAGAAAAAAAATAGAAATAAAAGTAAAACATGTTATAATATAATAATATTAAATATGCATTTTTAAAGTGTAATATTACTATACTAAATATGTATTTTTGTAAAAAATATGACTAATCCCACTCATTTAAGAATTTCTAAAAAAATAATAATAATATTCATTACATTTACATATTCATATAACCATATAGTAACCGCCTCCTGTAAGCAGAAAACCGTCGCGGCGGTTCACCGGCCTGTCTGCAAGTAGTACCTTCTCACACACTATCACATGAAAACAAACTGCAAAATCAACCAAAACAATTACAAAATAGGCAAAAATTCCAAATGCCGCGAAAATTTACTCCGAACAGCAAAATGGAGAACAAATCTGTCGTCCTGCACAAGAAATTACGCGAACTTGAAACGGAACTCGCTGACATCATCCGGATCCCCGTCGACCCGGCGTCGCCACCCGACCCGCTCCGGAAAATAGCCTCCGACGACATCAGGAGGCGCTTCGCCTTCCTGGACAACCTTCTCTCGCAGGAGATCGCGTCCCAGCCGCAAAGCTCCAGCCAGTTGGACGGAATCGGAGAGAGTCTAGCCGCACTGAGGTCGATCTGCTCCGAATGCACCCAGGGGCTTCTCGTTCGGGGAGGGTTTAGCGAATCGGAGAATTTTCCCGGCGGAAGGTCTCCGGAGTCGTTTCGATCCGATTCCGAGGAGGGCGGGGGTTCTGAGGGAGAAGGACGCGCTCAGTTGGTCCCGTACGGCGGCGGCGGCGGGTCGAGTTCCGATTCGATCTCGTATCCGAGGGATTTCCCCCCGGAGGAGGCGGTGGAGGAGTTGTTCGGTGGCGCGGAGGAGGATGCGGCTGTGCGGAAGGAAAAGGAGGCGGCGGCGGAGGAGAAGGTGTGGAGGAGAGTGGGGAAGTACGGCGGCGTGTTTGGGTGCGGAGTGATTGTGGGGGCCATTTGCGTGATGGAGTGGTTTTTTGCTGCTATTGCGCCTCAGTTAATGGAATATGAGGCTCTTCTTCTACCTCCCACTTGAGAGTGGCTGTTCATGTAGTTTAGCTTTATGTCGTGTGGAGAGCTTTTCTTTATTATTATTGGATTTGTGGTGGTGTTGACTATTTGGTATTGTTACTTGTGACACACTTGAACTTGATTATAATTTGATGATGTGGAGAAGTCCTTATTAGTCTTTGATTAAATTGTAGAATATAGTATAACATATAATGTGATGTTTATTTAGAAGCTATGAGGTTGGGCTTGCAAATGAGTCGAGCAATGACATTATTAAGCAAAACTCGATTTTTATCACTAATTGCTCCAGCTCGACTAGTCGAGATTTTTTAAAGTTCGATTCAATTCAATAAAAGTATGGAGATGTTTGAGATCGACTCAAATTTCGCTCTAGCTCCACTATTCAAAAAAAGAATGTTCTCAACTTTGACTCGACGTCAGCTAGCACAACTTCGAGTTGAGCATATTTAGGTAGATTACAATTATATTCGATCATCTCGTCGAGCATTCGAGCTCAGCTCGAGTTCGGGTTTGAGGTGCTCGATCTCTAGTCATGATTCAGCCAAGTGATTCCAATCACAAGGGCAGTGAAAGTATATATAGTTCTACAGTTCCTCAAGTTCAAATGCTTTGAAAAGGGAAGTTAAAAAAGGGGAAGGTTGAAAATTGAAAAAAAAAAAAAAAAAAAA